TTTCCTGCTTATGCAGGGGGTCGGACTCGATGATCTATTGAGGTCCCTTCTGACCCTAACATCTATGAATCTATGCTGAGACTGTAAGTAACTATAATTGCCAGAGCAGTAAGTATGTATTACAGTGACAATTCAAAATGTATTGAATCAAAATAAATATAGATGGAATCAAAGCCAATTTCAGTATTTACACTCTTGAAGGACAATAAATTTTGATGGTCACTGAAACATGAAGTCAACATACACTGTTTAATGTACACCCTTAAATACATTTAATGTACATCCCTAATGTACACCCTTTCAAAAGGATGGAAAGTCTCTGAATTATGGCTACAATTAGCCAACACTTATGATATTTGTTTAATCAATTGTTATGCAATTTAGTAATGTACACACAAAAACAGGCTAAACATTTTTCATGAGGTTTATTTTACCTTTTCTGCGCTTTTCAAGATATCCAGCCTTCAGAACAAACTGAAGATCCTGAGCTGCAATAGGAGGAAACTGGTTCCCTGAAAGAGAAATAAATGTTATAAACCACTATTTTTCAAGGAATTAGTGCTCTGGCTTACTTTAATAAGAAATATGACCAACTCTATATCCACAATGCTAATGAGCTACTGAAAAAAATGTAACTAATAACTACTAATCCAGTTTAATTTACCTGGCCAAAAAAACCTCACTAGTCTAAATGACAAAGCTGTTGCTTGTGTTGCTTTGCCAGTGTAGGGAGAGGAAAATTATAGCTATGTACCAGACCCTGCAAGCTTCAAGAACAGAAAAGAAATCTGTATCGACTTTCCAGACTGGAAACATTTTATGAATTATTTAAACACAGGGCGTATTAGCTTGCATCTGAAGACACTGCTTAAAATGATCTGGAGAAGCAAACAATATTTTAAAGTGTCAGATACAACTGTAATTAAATTGAGAATTTAATTTTTGACAATAACTTCTCCAAAGGTCTTCCAAATAGAAGAGCCTACAAACTGAAGCGCACGAAGTCATAGATTGTAAGGCTGGAAGGGACCTCGGAAGATCATCGGGTCCAGCCCCCTGCACCAAGCCACTGTCCCTACAAAGAAAAGAACTAAATGAAGGGATGACAACAAGTGAAGCTTGTTACTGGCAGAGAAGGCATATTTCATGCTACATTAAGAAGCACTGTTCAGAAAATAGATAGTATAGATATTAGATGGAAAAGACAACCACATTGTTCAAATTTTCCAAACTGCTGCTGTGTTTTCAGAATTAATTTTTGATTTTGCATAGGAATTCAGCCATATCTTTGCAATGATCAAGATGGCCTATCGCTTTTCTTCCCTTGCCTCCACTGTTTATTTATACCTAGAAGTGTGAAATTAATTTGCTTTAAAAAAATTCTTCAGCATCTAGATTTCTAGTTTAATCTAAAATAATTTAGTTTCAAGTCCTCCCAAAACAGAATTTTTTTTAATTTAAATTTCTACTATAAAACACAGAAGGCAGAATTCTGTTTAAGCATGCACAATCATTTACATATGTATAAATGTCTTGTTTCCCATGCTGCTATTATACGCCATAAAAACCTAAAGACCTAACAGGTCGTTGGAGGTAATAACCGTTACTTCAAAAATACGTTTAAGAATCACAATGGCAGTTTTCCACTACTACTTATAACTATCCACAGTACTTTTTGTAGGAAGTCAGCAAGTTATTCTTTTAAATTATTCACATAATCCTGTTAGTTCTATAGCAACTTCTGTGTTAAATAAGCACTTAAAATATCCTATTTAGGTCAAAGAACAAATTTGCCCTACACCCAGTTAAATACCTTCTTTGCTAAGTAACTGAGGCGTGTTAGGCTCTTCAGTAGTCCTTTAAAACAGAATTTACTATACACTAATCTAGATCTTGGTACTCATTTTGTTAGTAAAACTTGTATTTCAAATGAAAAGAAGGTAATGAAATAACAAGAGCAAACAAAGTACTGAAGGCTATACAAGGAAAGCATACCAAACACGAGAAGATATTCCTCAAGATAATCCCAAAATTTTTCCAACAAAAAGAATAAAAAGAAGTCAGACTATGTAGTAGATGCTGTATTAATATACTAGCTATTGAAAAATTATGTATTCATATTTTAGCCTATTTCATTATTTCTAAATATTTTCTTGTTAATATCCTCACCACACTAGGTACATTTTAACTTTGAAGGAATTTTTGACAAACATGATAAAAGCAACCCGGTTATATGTACATAAGTCTACACTGTTATAATGGGTTCCATTTGCAGGTAAATTTACAACCACTACAGAAGCACATTTAAGAATTTAGCACAAGAAACTCTACTCAAACCAAAAGCAGAGTCTCAACAGTGTAGAAGACGTATCCACGTCAAAATAAAATGAATCTGACTGCTGTCCAGGCAGTGTGGGAGGCAGCTGCACTTTCCAGAGAGACATGTTGTGCTTCTTTAAATTAGTCAGTGGGAGGCATCAGTGTGCAGCACTTTCAGCTCTTGCTCAGAGTAGGACTGGTCATAAAATGATCCTGAAATTGAATCACTAGAGATGGGGGAAGGGCAAGAGCAAAATCTTTTGAACAAAAATGATTACTTCCTGTTAAACCTATGTCTTAGTTCAAGAGCTTCAACAAATATTTGGTTCCAATTTTATTAATGTATTTCTTTGTTTTAGTGAGGAAAGGCTTGCAAGCCTCTTAATGGCTTAGACAAGAGTTCAGACTACACACCAATTCCATCCTTGTGGTCTTTGCTGGTTGCCAGGCCACTGCTAATTGTGATGGTCTGCATTCCAGAAGTGACAGCCACAGTTGAGAAAACAAGTTTGAAACCAAATTCATTTCACACAGGGTCCTGATTGGAAGGCTACAAGAAACGGCAGAAGCAGGGTCTTCTGCTCTGGAAGCATGCCATGGGAAGAAAAGCCTCTCTTCTTTCCTTCTCATTCAAAAATGTACATCCCCCTGCATATGCTATAAAAGGATTAGGCGCAGAAGTTTCGTGAACAAGGTCTGTCCAAAGTTATGGATAGTGAAAACACAGATAGTTGTCAACTGCAAGCTGACGGAGAAGTCTTATAACAAGCAAAGGAATGAAAAAAGAAATAAGAAAAATCAAGACAGACAAAGACGGGCTTGGCAAAATTCCCCCTTTCTTTTCCATATCCAGCCAGAAAGGGAAAAGAAAGAGTAAAAACCAAAAAGATAAAGGAGAGAGAATTAAGGATGTTCACTCAGGTTATCAAGTCTACATACATGACAGGATAAACACAAAGATACAGACTGAAACTTCCCTTGTGCTGCAACCAAACTGAAGAGAAAAAGAGAATGAAGTCTCACTTCCACCAACTGGCAGGATGCTGGCAGATCAAGTCACAGTCTTTGTCATCTTTCTACTCTGCTACCATTTCCATCACTGCCTCCCTACACATTGTGCGGGCCGGGAGCGATCCGCGGCCCTTTTGCGCACGCGGGCTGTGGCCAGCAGCCCGGGCATGCGGGGTCGGAGAGAACGGGCGACACGCTAGAATTAGTCACGGACGCGTAATGGTTGATTTAAGATTATTTTACTTACACCGAAGATGGTCGCGGTGCAGGCAGGAAAACTTGCTTGAGTTGCGGTTACAGATAGAAAAGATGAGAGGTGGACTAGAGTTCCTTCCCATGAACACTCTTCTAGCCCATCTGGTTGGAGGCTCTAAACCGCGAGCCTGTCGCGCCAACCGAAGAAAGTCCTGCTTTAAATGAGCTGGGTCCAATAGGCTCCGCAGCGCTTAGAGATCTTCACAAGATGTGAAGTCTCCTCCTCCTGGTGTTCATGGAGTCCTCCAACTTGGGCGGAAACCACTCAAGCTTTTTATACGGCTAGCAAGCCAATCGCTAGCCGCCACGTAGGAATAATTTAGAACTAGCCAATGGTGGGGCACAAATTTGAATACAAATGGCAGGAACTCTTTGCAACGTGCATTTCTGTGCTGCAACAAAGAAATGCACCCTGCAAAGAAAGCTACTGGTGGCGGGAATTCTTTTGCACCGGGGATCTCCTCTGCAGCAGAAAACTCCACCGTGCAAAGAAGCGGCAATTTAGCGGGGACAATTTAGCAGTGCCAAAGCACACACAAACAAAAATCACACCCTTGGGTTGTGACACACATCTTTGGCTTTTTGGGAGTTAAAAGCAGGAAAGGGCTACAGCAGATTGCAATCTTCAGTTGTGGAGTTTTCTAACTAAAAGTTCTCAAGTATGCTAAGAATGCACAGCAGCTATTTTTCAAAAGTTTTCCTATTCATTTGAAACAGAACAGGTTAGCTGCAGGCCTCTTAAGATAATGCTAATGAAAGCACATATGTTTTATTACTGTATACATTACAGTAACACCATGGTACCCAAGCAGATTAGAGACCCATTATGCTTTGTCCTTTACATGCACATATTAAGACAGCATGTTCCTGAAGAGTCAAGACAAAGGGTGTCTTGACTGTTATAAACGATCAATACAAACAGTGTGAGAAAGAAAGCATTACTATTTTAATGATGGGGAACTGAGGCACAGATGAAGCAATTTCCTCAAGATCTCACAGGAAATATCCTCCAGAGTCATGAACTAAATGCAGAATTCCCAGAACCAAGTTCGGTGTCCTAAAAAATTTCCTCAAGCCAACCCTTAATCTTTCAGTATTTTGACACACAATAAAAAAAAAAAAAAATGCGCTGACAAGAGGCTACCATTTGGAGAGATGATTACTAAACACTCATCCCCAGAACGCAGCTTAATATGAAAGAGGTCCATCTGCTTAATGTTAAAGATTTTCTCTCTCTTCATCTACCCACCCACCCCAGACACAGAGGAATGTCCTAGCACAGTTCCTTGTCAGAGCCTGCTGGGGGGGGGCTTGAGCACACAGAGCTCAGAGAACCTGAGTCATGTTCCACTTACATATTCCCAAAATGATGCTTACAAAGGTCATCTAAAACAGCAGATTAAGGTCCAACTGCAAAAATTTATAAAGTCCAGAAGTTCTTCGTACACATATAGCAGCCCAGGTTCATCCTGTGGCTCTGGTCTATTTTGTGCCAAGAGCCAGAGTTGCCACAGCAAGAATTCCTCCAGTGAAGGGAATGTAGAATGCACTCAGCGCATAAAGTTAGCTTCTCTACTAATCATTTCCTAAATCCCAGTGTAGCAGGAATACCGTATCGAGGTCCGACAGAGCATTCTCCACTGCAAACATTTAATGGATCAACAGGCACTTACACACATGTGAGGAGCCTGCTCTGACATGCTGGAAATCCAGAGTACTCTGGAAGCCTCGCGCGTCATGTGTATCTGCAGTACAGCATGCCTCCGTACTGAGAAAATGGCAGCTGTGCACTCTGAACTAACACACATTCGATGTGCTTACGTTCAAAGTTCACCGCCACCATTTTCCTCAGCGCTGTGGCGCACTGTGCTGCTGATGCATGTGACATGCAGGCGCTTTTAATTAGCACAGCTTGCTAATTAAAAGC